TCCTATCTACAAAGTTGCATGATTTCATGTGACTTTGCATAATGAAAGTACAAAATTCCATAGTATGCAACTTTTGTTACTCGATACATTTTCTTAAATTTATATATGTCAATCGCCCAGTTTTAATTAGTGAGTTTCTATCGTTGATCGGCGGACCACGAATTAATATTTCAAGATCTCAATTTTTGTTGTACAAGAGTGCCTGGAATTTTTAAAAACATTTTTTACTTGAAGTTTCTTTTATATATTTAATATGTAGCATGGTTAGATAACTCAATTAGAAAGCTTTCTAGGAATCAGCAAAATCGGTAAACAGCAATTTTTTTTTTCTTGAAATAGACAAAAGCAATGGTATAATTATAATAGTACAACATAATGTTATTTAATATACTTTCTTCTTATTTATTATTCTAATTGTTTAATGTGCTTCTAATAGAAGGATTCATCTTCAATTGAAAAGATCCACATGTTAGGTAGATTCGATGGCTTATCACATTACGCGCTGTATTAAGATTATTTTTTCATATTTAATGTTAACTATTAATTATTTTTACCTTACTCTTTATTACATGCTCATATTTCAACATAGAAGCAAACCTCTGTAATCAGATGATAACTTGGAGTTGGTGAACAAATATATGGTGAATATTGTATTTTTTATATTCAATTATTTATTAAATCATTTTTACACGATATCATTTTTACTGCATGAACAAAAATTCAAACAAAAAACATGTTTGAATTGATGACAAAGATTGTATTTTTTATATTTAATTGTTTATTAATAATTTTTTCATCGCATACTGATATTATATCTTATATTTAATATTTATTAAATCGCTTTTACATAACATTATTTTTTATTACATACTATTTTGTTATATTTTTAGATGATCCAATATATCCAAACATCAAACTTCAATTAAAGAGTTTGGCAGATAAATATGAGGTGGTGGAAGACCATTATCTCAAGTTTGGGAACATTTTTTAAAAGGACCTGAAATTAAAAATAATAAAGGCCATTACAATGCTAAGTGCAATTACTGCTTGAAATATTTTGAAGTTGGATATCCGAATGTTCTTGAAAAGCATTTAGCAAGAGAATGTGTTGAGTGTGATGAGGAAATTAGTAAATATTATTTGAATTGAAAAGAGCAGGTCTAGAAACAATCAAAAAAAAAGCTCAGGTTCTCATCTCATTATTCAACATCCAATAACAAAAATTCAAATAATCATCAAGTTTCTTTATCTGAATTCTATGAAAGTACAACCCTTACAAAAGAGAGAGAAGAAAGCATCAATAAATCTTTAATTCATGCTTTTGTAATGGCTGGCATTTCATATAACACTATTAAGAACCCATATTTTGTAGATTTTTAAAAAAATTACATCCAGCTTATCAACCACCAAATTGTAAAAAATTATTTAAATGATGAAGTGATTCATGTGAATAGCAAAATAGACCAGGATATTGAAAAAAATAAAAATAAGACTGGTAAATATATATTTATTCTTATTAAGTGTTTTATTTTTATTAATTAATTTTATAATTGTTAATTAATAACCATATCCATAATCATATTTAGCTCTAGATGGTGGTCCAATCCTAAGAACAAGTCATTCTGGAATTTTGTTGTTATAACTCCTCAAAGAAAAAGTTATACATACAAATTATGTGATTTTTCAGGAAGTTCTCATACTGGAGTTATTTTGTCTGATCAAATTGGATCAATTATTTTAGAAATTGGTGTAGAAAAACTGTCAGCTGTTGTAACAAATGGTGCTAGTAATGTTAAACTTGCCAGAGAGTTAATAACTACTAAATATTGAACATTAGATGTATTGCTCATTGTTTTAATCTTATAACAAAAGATTTACTAAAACATGAATTTGCAAAAACTTTAGTCTTCAAGTGCAGAAAAATTATCAATTTTTTTAAAAAATCATACCAAGCCAGCAATTTGCTTGAAAGCTATATTAAAACGTTAAATACTACTGGGGAAAGCCTAAAAAAGCACCCTGAATACAAAGGTTAGATATTTGTTAATATTAATGTTTGTAAATTAGGAATACTCATTTATTTATTATTTTTTTTAGGAACTGGTCTTAAAAAAGGTCACTTTAAAATAATTGTTGAATTCATGGTGAATCATTTCCAAAAATTAAAAAGATCTGAAGGAGAACAAAATATTTTATTGGAACAATTGAGAAATTATAAATTAAGAAATTCATCATATAATCCACCTTTCAGTTTTGAAAGTGGTAATGTTTTAAATTGGTGGTGTGAAGAAGATCATGATTATTTGCAAGAATTTGCAATAAAATTATTTTCAGTGGTTCCACATTCAGCAACTTGTGAAAGGTCTTTTTCAATCCTAGATTGGTATTATGGAAAAAAAAGGAAAAATTTAAATATCACAACAATTGAAAATATGTTGAAAATACATTCTTATCATTTATCTAATATTGAGAAAGAATTAAAATATGTTGATCAAAATATCTCAGATGAAGAATTGAAAAACTTAATATCAAATGCAAAGCTTTGGTTGGATGATGGTGGAGGAGGAGAATAGTGTGTCGGATGACATAAGTGAATCAGAGAGTGATTTTTATGAAGTGGAACCTAATTACAAGATTGATAAAAAGAATAATTTTGTATTAGAGGAAATAATTGACTTAAATAATTCTATATTTACTGATGGTAACTGAAGCCAAATTCACTTAGATGTAGAAAATAATATAAATCAACTAATTGATGAAAATTACAAATACAATTCAAATCAGTGTTGGCAAATCTGTCCAAATACCCCTTGTCCGATTGTTCAATTTGTGTCCAATGCATTTGGACAATTGGACAGGACAAATCCAAATAAAATTTAATTGGACACCTAAAAATGCCAACCCTGATTCAAATGATTAGATAAATAGTTTTTTGAACTCATTTGATGATGATAGTGATATTATCAATATGAATAATATAGTTAATTTAGAAAGTGAAGCTGATATTGCAAATAGTTATATTTATAAATAATGATATTGATAATAACAACCATGATGATATTATTTATGATCAAGACAATTTTAATAATAAGGATGATAATAGTAACAATAGTAATGATCTAGATGACTATAACAGTATTCCAACTAACAACAATAATAAAAAAAACCAACTTGAAAAGAAAAAACGATTGTGATGATTTAGAAAAAAAAATTATTAAAAATAAAATATTTTAATTTTGTTATCAAAATTTAATTTCAAATAAAAAAAAATTTTTTTTGGTAAATTTCATTATGGTTTTTATTGAAAGTTTCAGAATTTAAAAGTTCCTTAAACTTTTTTTTAAAAATTAAGAGTTATATATTTCAGTTTTGGGTCTCAGCAAGGTTTAGGATTTTAAAAATTCCCTAAACTAGTTTCGGAAGGTTTCTGTTTCTGGTTTTTCCTAAACTTGGAGTTTCAGGTCACATCATTAATTAGAATAGCCACATAAAGGCAATTTGAACAATGGTGTTTTAATGTCATGATATCGATTTATTGTAAGATATACAGTAAACAAAAATATCTCATTAAGCAGTGATCTGGATTTTAGAAATTAGATACCTCATGGAGAGAATTTGAATGTAGTTGTTTTATCAAAAATAGCCAGATATTGACCGAGTGTTATGGCGATTTAAAGTTTTGATTAATTTTTCTGTATGTTTTGACCATTTCGACCTTTAATTCGACCTTTGATCTCTCAAGTCAAAATATTTCAACTTTTGAGCTTTAATTTCGACTTCATGTATAGTTCATTCTGTTAAATATAACTTTCTGTATGATTTCAGTAACTAAAAATACATTTTACCATTAATTAAACAAAATATATTTTATTCAGTATTATTATTAGTATAATTTCCGTATTTATTCTGTACTTTTGATATTGATATAGAAATTGATACAAAAATTTGCATATTCCATACATGTTGTTTATTACTAAAATTACATATTTTCCATATTTAATATGGTTTATTCTATCTATCTTTTCCGTATTTATTTTTTATAGGGACAAATAAAATGAAATAAACAAATAAAAGAATAAAAAGAATAAAAAGAATAATTTGAATTAATATTAATATTATTAATAATATTGAATTGTATTACTATTATTCTAACTATTATTTTTATCCTGCTACGAGTATTCTATATATATTTTTTTTTGAGCAAATCTACATTTTTTTGTCATTCCAATTAATGGAGCAAATAGACCCATCTCAACTAATTGTCCATGCCACCGAATTCTGCACTAAAATTCCAGATGTAAAAATGAAATTATTTTTTTCAGCCGGTTCATATCTTTAGTTGTTTTTGACTTTGAAGTTAACTATGCATTATATTAATACACAGTGATATTAACAATAAAATAAAGCATGCTTGAGCTATCTTTAGTGGCTGAGTTTAAAACGCACATATACTAGCATGTATAATGACTTTTACATAGTACATTAAACAGGTTTAGGTACAGGCTATTGTAAGTTTTAAAATTTTGAAGTTGCTAAAATCCTATCACGTGATAAATCAATCACTAGAGTTTTATGATTATGAATTTTTTTTGATATTGAAGTTGTTCTTGCAATTGCTTTTTTCATTTATATATTAATAATTTATTAATTATTTATCAATTAATTTTGATAGAGAAAATCAAATAAACAATTTAATTGTTAAAAAATCCCATTAATAAAAGGTTAAAAATGTGACCAAAAAGAGTGAGTAGATATGAAAGATGCTACACATGTCATTCAATCAAAGGAAATAGATAATATAAATCATGTCGGGGGTCTCAAAAGCATAGTGGAAATTTGAAATGTTACACTAATTTTTTATATTGTGCAATGTAGCTTTACAATACATGGCAAACATTCTGGCAATAAAAAGTAAGTGATAAACTGGATTTGAATTGGATCTGAATTTGATCTCCAATTTAGAGAGGTAACAACTATATACTGGTGAAGTTTCAGGAGAAATGAGTTCTGTATGAAATTTCGTGTAACAACAAACTTCCACTATGCTGTACGCATCAATCAAATAGCAAACTTCTTTTCCAAAAAAAATGGCCAACAGAATTAAAAACTTGAATAAAAGAAGCAAAAAAAAATAATAAAGCTGATATCGCTAGGTAAGTGTTTTTATGGATGGTGGTGGTGGTTATCACCCGCCACTCATCATCACCAGTGTTGTGACCCAAAACTCCGAGTTTAGGGAAAACCAGAAACAGAAACTAACAGAAACCACCCGAAACTAGTTTAGGTTTGTATTTTATGTTTAGGTTTATGTTTATGTTTATGTTTATGTTTAGTTTCTGCTTAGTGTAAGTTCATTTTCTGAAACATTTCGGGAAGCCAAAAGAGTTTCTGGTCACAACACTGGTCATTACTCTAGATATATATAAAATAATATTGTGCATAGATTAAAATTAAAAATTTATTTGCTTTTTAGTGAATCCTCATTGTATAAAAATATTGATCAAGAAATAATTAGATTATATTTTGAATGATAATACTGCTGTTCAAGATTATGTTTTTATTTTTAATTGGACTTATAATATAATAATGCCTTTTTAAATAGGAAAACAATGTTGCACCCAAGATAATTCCTCTTTTTGGATCAGTAAGTATATTAAAATTATTTGAATTTGAATTTGAATTAAACTATATTAATATCTATATTTAAAGAATGTTATGGAGTGATTGACAAGTGGCAAAAGTATTCAAGATCTTATGTTAAATATTTTTAATGATTCTAAAGAAAGGCAAGTTTCATCTATTTGATATTATAATAAAGATAAAGCTAATTTTTTCTTTAAACAATCTAGAGATGTGGTGAAAATGGCAGTTCTAAATTTGGAAGATAAATTATTTCTTGAAAATCCTTATTTAGAGATAAAAAGCAAATTTCAATTAATCTTGGAAAACTTAATTAAAAATAACCAAATCAATGAAAATATTTTATCTCATATTAATAAACTTTCCAAGATAAATAACGTGGATCATGGATTTGAAATTATAAGTGAGCTAAGTGCCAAAAACTACCAATCATTAGATGATATTGATTCTATTATGATGACTTTTGTACAAAAAAAAATTGAAAATATGTATGTTTATTTTATCTGTTATTTTGTAAGACATCAATTTATATGTTTGTATATTTTTTTTTTTTAGGTTAAGGTTTTTTAAAGCAAGCTCAACATTTTGGGAAAAGGATCACTCAGAGTCATTTAAAACTGGTTTAATTTTTCTTCCAATGATGTTTAATCTATTCTATGGAAAATATAATATAAAAACATCTAAGTATGTTATGACATTTTAAATAATTATCAATATTTCTGTACAAAGCTAAACACTAATCAAGTGGTTTGTTTTTTGTTTTCAGGGAACTAAAGGCTAATAAAATTCACAGGAACTTTTTAAAAACATTAGATGACAATGTTAAAAAGCATTAATTCCTGATACAATAATTCTGTATAAAAGAGATTTGGAACTTGTAATCACTGAAAATGGAAAAAAACAACCTATAGAAGATATCAGAAAAGAAAAGTCAGATACTGTCAAATTGTGTGGAGAACTTCAATACATGATTAATCTTATATATAAGAAATTGGAAATTGAGAAGCAGCCAAGATTCATGAATAAATTTAAAGAATTTAAAGTTTTTGGTTTAATAAAATCTGGTAAAATCAATAATAATCTATCTAATCTTTTTCTCAATGTAATAAAATTGTAACTAATTGATAATTTATATGTGTGCATCCAGGATTAAAAGTTAAAATATATAGTTTATCATTACCTGGGCCTGAACTCTATATTTTTCAAAAAATCTCTGTATTTGATCTACCAACAAATTTTATGGATTTTGATGCAATGGGAAAGACTACTCGAATCTTATTAAAATTTCGAGTAAGTATTTATTATTAATTTAGTTATAAGTTATATTAAGCTATATCAATTTAATAACATCAGGAAATTAATTTAGCGTAAACTTGCATAAATCTTATGATGCTGATGTAATATTATGTAAATCTTACAGTGCCAACGTAAGTTTTACACTTTTTTATTATTAAACTTACAATTGACATGTGTAAAATTTTTTTATATTTTCCGGATGTATAAACTAACATAAATTTCCTATACAATTATTATGTATATTTTTGCATAAATGATGAATTTAGGGTGTCCAAAACTTTTGCTAAGGTACTGTTTATATATATATATATATTATATATATATTAATATACTGAGGGAAAAAAATATTTTTTTAAGGGGTTAAGAATGTTGCACACAATTTTAGAATTTTCAATTGCATTCCAGAATGTTGATCATTACAGTATTTAGAAATTCCAAATTTGGAAAAAATCCTGACTGTAATATGCCAATGTTATTTTTTCTACTACTTTAATTTAAGCTAGTCCAAATACATCAATCTTTTCCAGCCAAGCACCATTTGGAAACCATTGAATTTTTAAACTTTTTTGTTAAGATGTGTTACAAGCAAAACAAAAAACAAATATATATTAATCAGTTATAAATAATCACCTTCCTGGGCATATCTTTTGCCTGATTAAGAGCAACTGAAGCAGTTGGTCAACTATCTGGATCACTTTTACATAAATCTAAATTGAAACTTAAAAGTTCTTGAGGAATGCCTACGACATTACATGAACTAACCAAATCACCAACACCCCATATATCAATGCTTTTTAATTAACATTTCAGGGGCATAATAACTTTCAGAAAATTCTTTTAAAGGCCTATCATCAGGGGAAAAGGTAGCATAGTCAAAGTCAATTAAAATGAAACATTGATACCTCCTATAATGGTGAATAGTGTTGGCCATTGAATATCATTGGTTTAGGCTTAATTTCATGCATACCCTGTTTGAACATCATAAAAATGTATAAATATAATATGTATACATAATAATAAAAATATTGTATTTATGCCAACTCTACCTTACACATAAATTTCTTTTAAATGTGTAACTTGTTTTTCATCTGCAAATTTTTCTTAATTGCATACCTGAGTTCAATAATGGTTCCATTTGGTCGAATAATTGTTTGAAATTCTGGTGAATCCCTTGCAGGGCATAAATTCACTATAAAAGGTAATATACAACCTAAAATAACCATATGATGAATTGGTATTTTGTGATAATAATTTAAAGCTCAAAAAGCACTCACAAATATTTTGAAGGAAATTAATAGTGCGAATTCTGTCTAACAACGCCCTAAATCAAACTCTGCAATCTGTTCAGAACAAATCTCCAGTTTTCTCTTCTTATTTTCAGGCTTATACAAAATAAAAAATGTGACTAGAGGACCAACAGCATAGTATGCAAAAATGTATGGTGAATATCCATAGGTCCAATTAAAGCTCCGAACGAGCCGAGCCGGCTCGAGCTTAAGCTCGAAATTTCGAGTTTCGAGCCGAGCTCGAGCTAAGAAATAATAGGCCCGAGACTTTCGAGTCGAGCTCGACCCGACTTGGCTCGAGTTTGACGTTACATAAAAATTTTTTAAGTAGCGAATCATTAATCCTAATACTTTAACCCATTTAAGAGCCT